AGGTCAGCCCTACAGTTTGCAGTGCGTTTTTGGGTCTTGGGGTTGGTAAGTCATCACCTTTCTCGATGCTAAGTGTGAGTGGTGAGGGGTTTATTACTGTGGACCACAATGGCATATATGTGGCATCACTGGTTCAAAACCCATTCATGTAACTCTTCAGAATTAGGAAACTGGCTTAAAAAGTAATGACACAGGGAATAAACCCCCTCAATATTCTGCATTGTTTTAACACTCCTCCTATTTTCTGGGGATCTTTAAAGGTCATGCGTGCAAGTCCTCAACCATAAGGTCTAGGACCACTGTCCTTTCAAATAAAAGTGGAGGTGAGCATGAATAATTGCCTTATTACTGTGGCATCAAGACCTGGATCCCATTGTGCTAAGCATGGAACAAACAGAACAGAAAGATGTTTCCTGCCCCAAAGCAATTCTCCTGTAATCGTGTGGGCTGTAGCATAATCAAGCGCTATAAGATCCGTGAGAAAGTCTTCCATCTCAAATCCTGTTCTAGCTTTCTGAAAAACCATTAGCAGGACCTACCCCTGCTTTTTTCTGAAGGAGAAAGCCCACAACCTCCTGATTTCTCTTTCCTATTCCCCCTATAAAACTCCTCAATGGGTTGCTAAGCCCCATAGCAGTAAGGTGGCCTGAGGGTTGGAGGGGTAATTCCCATCTCCCCACTCTCCCTTGATCTCCGTCTCCTGTCCTTTAAGCTTTCAGTCTGTACTCCACTTCTTTTCCCTTGCAAAGGAACCTAAAAATAAATAAATCCCAGAAAGAACAGAAAAAAGAAAAAGTCACCAGCCCCCAAAACAACATGCTTAGTCATTCATGATGAGTAAAAATAGTTTCCCAAATGAACAAGTTGCTGAGCCAACCAGATGAGCAAGTCATCGCCATAAACGAGGGGTCTCATCCTCCCTCTCCTTGGGCAGGTCCTTGTCTGAATGGGCTTTTGGCAGAGCCCTGAGCAGAGTTGGTTAGAGAAGGATCTGGCCCGTGAAGACAGCTTTGAGAGTCAGAGCCAGGTGTCCTACTGCTCAAAGGGACATGTAATGAAAAATTTTATCTTCTTTGCATCAGTGGAGACATTTAATAAAGAGTGAGTTATCAACTTGTCATGTGCATGGAGTTCTGCAGAGATGGTGCAGTAAATGAGGGGGCTGTTGGATTTGCCGGGCAAAAGAACGTGGGGCTGAGGGCAGGCTGCTCGCGGGGTGGGGTGTCCTCTGCTCCTGGCTCTTGGCTTCTCCAGCTCTTGGCCAAGATCAAGCTGGTGATTGTTGCCGCTGAGACTAACATTCAGTACTCATGGCACGATTAAAAACTTAGGCACAATCCCCCCAGCAGAAAAGACGCCCTCATATTCCCATCGATAAATATTTGGCAGCGGATGACTCGTTCTCCCCTTGGGCTATTGAGGAACGGTGGGCTGTGTGATTGGTTTTCAGGACCGAGCCAGCCCTTTTGGGTTAAATCCATCTCTTTAACATAGAAGAACAGCTGATTGGACTATTAAGGCATCCTGGGGGAACAAAGACTTGGGACGTGCCAGTGGGGAAATCAGTTAAGCTCTCGTTGTGCTTAGATCTGCGCTCAGAAGACCAGCTGGGACTTGGCTGCATCCATCTTGCTTATGAAGATGATGCTCTTTTCAAAGTAGGGATTAGCTCTTATCTTCCACCTGGCACATGGGGCCTTCATTCTGCATCGGAGGCTCCAGCTCCCGTACAGTAGCGCTAGGACTAAAAATCACACAGCCAGGCAAGAAGAATGGATTTTTTTTCTACATTTTGAAAAAAAAAAACCAAACGTGTTCTTCATTACCAGGCTCTGGGAGCATAAACTCCACATCCTAGTGAGTTTTAAGCTAGGCTTAGAAACTGGAGTCCCACTTTGGCCACTGCAGGGCCACTCTATGTCCAAAGCTGAGCAGGACCTTGTTCTAACTGACCCAGGACGGCCTGGATACCCGGTTGGAGGACTACCCTTGGCAATACTCAGCCAGGGAGAGGTGGCCCCAGGAGAAGGCTGTAGGCGGGAGCGATGCTGGGAGTGCCTGCTGCCCCACTGGCGCTGGGTCAGGCAGGTGACACTGTCACATCACCCTGCAGAGGCTGGGTTATGTTTTAATACATTGAAAAAGACCAACCTGACAGGCTACCAGCATGTTTCCTTATCAGAGAGAAGGGAAGGAGCCCTTCTGGAACATGCAGGAGTCCACACGAGTGGGCGATCAGATGTACAGGGACAACAGGTCAGGGAGACACAGTCCCTGGACACTGAGAAAGAGCTGAGTCTCTCAAACTGCTTAAGGAAAGACCACTCTCAGAGTTAAGGGGGGAAATATTGTATTTTCTTTTAAATTTTCTATGATGAGATAGTAATTCTGACAGTAACTTAGATTAAAAATAACCAGTCACACAGTTAGAATTTGGTTTAAAAATAAAAGAACAAGGGGAGGAGGCCCATTCAGGGAAGACGACGATGAACTGCTCCTCCAGCCTATCCTAAGGTATGTCATATGTTGCTCAGGGCATTGGTCCGGGCCGTGCTCTTTCCCCAGGCAGCAGTGTCCTGCCTACGTGAGGACAGACATCAGCCCAGCCTTGGCTTACTGCGGAGGCTACAACGGCAGAAGGCATCGCACGCCCAGCAGAATGGCAGCCTGATGGCTTGTTCTGGGGCTGTGCTGCATGTCCCGCTTAAATCTGATGCTGAAGATGTTCAAAACAAGCTGCCAGCTCCATGTCCGGCTTTGTCCCCCCGAATCATGTCTGATTAGCAGGTACCCAAGAGGCCATCTCTGTCTCACCGTGCTGAAGATATCCTGCAGCTGGGAAATGATATAGTAGGACTTGGAGGAGCTCTGGGCACTTAACTGGTGTGAAACCAGGGCTCTCTGGAGAGGTGCTGTGTATCTGCTGATTTTGGAGTATCTATTGATGATGTCTTTTTTTTTTTTTTTTTGGTAACAGACCAGTCTGCAACAGATGTCCTTAGGTGTCCACATGCAGGGTTGCACGTGAAGATTACGAGCAGGCAGAAGCAAGCTTTGGGAGCAGCATTTGTCACATCTGGAGTTGCACGGGACAACGCATGTGTCTCAAGTGTGCCCAGGCCTGTCCCCACTGCCCATGCCAGAGCCTCCAAGGCATGAGGCATGGTTATAAAGCCAAACCGATTAGCTGCGGTGGGTGCGGACAGGGGATCTGCAGGCTGTGTACTCACTGTTCTCCCACAGCTCACCTTGAGACCTCCTCCCCACCTGTGCCTCTGATGCTCGTGGTGAATTCAATATTGGGGATGATGTATATGCATTTCACCAGGCATAACCGTCTATTCACCCACTGCCCAAAGATCTTTCTGAGAAAGTTCCTTAGCCCCACCGGTACTGCTGGCAGGATTATCAGTGAATTTTGGGGAGCCAGGATTTTACTGTCTGTTTTGCCTGGTCTGGGGTCACGGCCGGTGCTGGTCTGGTCCTCTTGCCACCCTCAACTTTGCCCCTCACCTGCTGCCACTCCTTCACTTCAGGACCTGATCCAGCACACTGGGAAAGCACAGAGCATCTTTTACTCCCAGTATGGGCTGGGATTCTTGGCAGACTCTCTTCTGCTTTCCAGTACTGCTAAAAACTCACTTTATCGTCCTCCCAGCTCCACTAGTGTTTGCCTACTGACGCCAGACCAGTGAAGTGAGCAGCTCCATATGTGCAGATCTCAGGAAGATCTGCAAGCACAGCTAAATCAGCTACAACCTCTCCGAAGCAGGATTGTGCCTCACTCCATCTGCAACACGGGGTGGACATGAACAGAGTTCTCACCAGTGTCAGTAAGGTGGAAAGCAGGTAAGGAGGGTGTTAAAGGCAGTTGGGTTTCGGGATGGGGCAGCAGGGAAAGCGAACACAAGTCCAGCAGCTGCCACAGCACCCACCTGCCCAGGAGCCTTGCTGGCTCTGCCAACTGTCTCTTGGGTTTTGGGCAGTTCAAAATGCGGCGAATCATGTTTCCAAAAGGTTTTAGGCAGCTGACAAACACCTACGGATTTCATCAGTGTGACTTCTGCTTGTAGATCACTCAGTTGCGTTAGGAAACATTATTCTCAACTCACTGGCTGCAGATGAAGCTGGGAAGTTCTGCGGTTTGGGGAACATGGGAGAAGTTCACCAAACTTGAGAAAACCTGTGTCAAATGACTTTGCTCAGCAGAAAGCCTGGCCTTCATGGCCATGAATTCAAGTGACCTCTGTTAAATCCTATCTTGACCCCCTTTATATTCATACTCCCCAAAGAGTCCCACTGGCTGGAGCCCCCCTACAAGCCCCTGTCCTGTTAGGTCAGGCATGTGGATGTCATGCCTCCAGCTCTCTCACTAATGCCATCACGACACAAAAACACACCACCAGAGCCCTCGGGCTCTGAAACTCAACCCTTGGGCATGCTACCACGATCCTCCGTCGCTCCAGCCCAGGACATGCTCTCCTAGGACCAAGCCAGCACAAACCCATTGAGAAATGACCTAGCGGTCACTGCCTCAACCCATCGTGGAAGGGTGATGAAGATGGACTCTCTCCCACCTCCCGCCCCCCACTTGATCAGTGAAAAAGCAAGAAGAAGTAAATAACGTGCCAGACAGCCTTCCCCATCCCTCTCCCACAGCGCAGAAGCCCAAACCCAAGAGCAGCCGCACAGCCTCTCTGCAGGAACAGAGGTGCTGGGGGCTGGCTCCAGCCAGTTGCCCCTCAAGGAGATCAGGGCTGAGAGATGCGAGAGGACCTGGTTCAGCTCTGAGAATCATTCTTAAAAACAAATACTGGAAGACCTAGCAGTAAAGCAAGGGGCTACTCCAGCTGGAATTGTCAACTAGAGACCTCCCAGCACCACTTACTCAACGGAGGGGAAAAAGTAGCTAGCAGGGCACTAATGACTATTTTCCACATAATTTTAAATCTAGTTCCATTTCTTTTTCTTGGGTTTTTTTTGTGTTTTTTTTTTTTTTTTCCTTTCCACTCACTGGGTTTCTGATCCTGGTAATCTTTCTCTATGGCTCCCGTGCATGTGTGTAAGTGTGTGTGTGGCAGAGGCAGTGGGGGGGGTCAGGCGCTTAGGCACATTTGGCAAAGCCAACAGAGTCATTATCACGGTCAAAGACGGTGTAGTAGGGACCGATGAAGACATCTCCCAGGATCCAGAGTGGGCCTCCAGGGGGTGGGACGTCCAGGCCTGAAAAGCCGCTCAGGCAGATGGTCTCTCCTTGTACAGAAACCTAGAGAGACGAGTGAGAGCTTCAATCCGAGGAGGTCCTCCCCTTCCCTCAACCTCGCGGGCTCAGCAATAACACCTGCCAATGCTGGCTGCACTTCAGCCTCTCCCAGCCTCAGATCCACAGCTTGCAAAAGTAACTCCCAACCTGCCGCTCCCACGGCTCCAAATCCAGCTCCCCCTCCCAGAGCCCTTATGCAGCAAAGCATCAAGTAAAGCCAGCCCATAAACCTCCCAGCCCACGCAGCTCTGAATTAGAGCCGTTGTTGAAATTCTGCACGAGATGGTCCTTGCAGGTTGACTTTGATGGCTTAAATGCCAGGCTGGTGGCCTCTGCTATGATAAGGCTGGCCTCACAGTATCAGAATCCAGCAGGAAAAGGCAAAATGTTTGTAGCAAATGATGCAACAGCCTGCCTACCCTTCCTCTCCCATCCTGCTGTCCCTCATGAGCGTCTCGCAGGGGGTCTCGTTCCTACAGGACTTCGGTGAGGTTGCCTGGGTCCATCAGCAGTGCTACCACCCTGTCACCCCAACCTTTCAGATTTTTTCCCAAGTGCCAGCTCCAGCCTCTCTTTTGCAGCTCAAAAAGTGGTTGAGGTTTGAGTGGAGGAGGCAAAAGTTAGGCCTTGGGGGAGAAGCGTGGGGCTGACAAAAGCTGCCTGGACATACCTTGAAGACATACTGCTCTCCGGTGAGCTGGTAGGGCTTCCCTCCTAGTGTTAGCGTGACAACAGGCAGAGATGACACCTTATCGCAGGGGATCACGTACTGAAACGGTAACAGTAAAGGCTTTAGGTGGCAGCTCCCACACCCTCAGGGAAGGGCACGGTCTCCTCCAGACACAATCATGTCTTTGCTGTGGTTTTCCCCAAAACCAGCTCATCCTAGGGTGCAGAAGAGGCCTGAGCTGGGGTAAGTGGGCTGCTCCCTGCCCAGGGATGCAAGCTAAGGGGGCCAGAGTGTTTTAGGGATAGGGACGGAGCCAAAGGATGCTGGGTTCAGCTTTTGGCTCTCCTGAGGCCCAGGGCACAGCACTCAATGCAGCAGGGCTGAGGGGTCTCCTCTGCCACAGGAGGGGGAGACGTGGCTCAATACAGCCTAGAGACATAGACAGGGATTCGCGGTCATGACGAACGGACAAAGCCAGTTTAATTAACACTGACAAGTCTTGGGGAGGGTGGCAGGTCTAACATAGTTGTCACTGCAGCGCGGGGTCTCTGACATGGCAGAAAAGCCCTACAAGTGCTCATGGCTCTGTGATTTGCAATTGGTTTCAGAGAAGAGCATCCTTCTTAGGCGGTCCTTATAATCCCTGTTCCTCCACAATTTCAGGAAGGAGAGATGACCTTGTGAGATTAGCTGCGATGGTTAAAAACTTGGCAGGGAAGGGTTGTCATTTGCATTAAATATATTTGTATTAAAGTGCCACTGGACTCACATTAACGTGAATGCTTGGCCTCAGCTGCAACTCACACCCCTTCTCCTCCACCTTGCACAGAAGGGTGGCAGAGGTGACTCAAAGCCTCCCGAAGTTCACAAGACCTGGCCATCTACTGAGAGCACGAGCAGGGCAGTGAATGCTACCCGAGGTCAAAAGGCGGAGGGGTCCCTGCTATGCCAGGGGCTCTTCCAGCAGCACAGGCTGGGAATAGAGAGCAGAGGGAGCAGGAGACCAGGGTTTCTAGAAGCATCTGGGTGCAAAGCAGGGCATCAGCATGGATGCTGTGATGGCCATGGACTCCCACTTTCCCAGCCTGGCCTCACCTGGCCTTTGATGAGCGGTTTTGCACCGATGGCTGTCTGCAGCTCCTTCACTTCCTTGGTGGGGCCGGTGATGAGTGAGGTTCCTGTATCCACGATGGCCTCACAGCCCCCTTTGCACAGAGTCAGCCCGTTGGCAACGTCCACCCTGGGGAGAGATGCCCAGACAGAAAACAACCCTTAGAGGCCTCCCAGCGAAGGCTGCAGGAAGCAGAAGGCAAAGACCTGAAGACGGCTGAGCCTAGGCAGTACGTAGGCACACAAGGGAGGGCTGTGACAGATGCCCAGGAAAGACAGATGCCCAGAAATACTGAAGGAGCATCAACTCGGTGCACAGACCCCCTGCTCCTGACTGAAAGGGTGCCTTGAGGTGTTACTGCATTTCTACTGAGAGCCTGGACAGCTGCCTGCATACCCTGCCAGCTACCTGCGCTCCAGAGCAAGCACCGCAGCTAACGGGTATGTGAGTGAGCGAAGGGCAATGCATTAGGGACTCGTATGACCTGTGTTACTGCAAAAAGCAAAGGGTTAAAGGGGTGGTATGACAGCTGAGAGGGTCATGGGCAAGGGAAAGGTTCGTGTGCATGGAAGAGGCAAGACAGGAGCTGCTTGGCTTCTTCACCCGCATCGTGTTTCACAGCAGCGCGGACAGATAAAGCCTTCCAGCCAAGGGTCTGCCACGCTTTGCCAACGTGGCAGGGCTGGGGGAAGATGAGAACTAAAAGCCCACACTGGGGAGGGATGCGATCCCCAGGAAAAGGCCACACTTTGATCACAGGCTGCTTTTAAGTTCCCATCACGTGGGAGAGCTCAGAATAGACCGCGGGGCTGGCGGCCGGCAGCTCAGCCTGCTCTCCTCCCCTCTGCCTCCAACAATGTGTGCTGATTGCCGCACCGTGCCCTTCAGTCAAGGGCTGGCTTCCTGGGGCCTCATCCTGCTCCTCCAGAGCTGTGTGCAAGTGAGCCACACAGATCAGGCCTTGCTGAGAGCTGAGCAAAGCCAGGGTTTAATCTGTGGGGCTCGCCCTGCCTGCAAGGAGGACATGCTGGCATTTTTCCCCACTTCGCAAAGGTGCAGCTGGCATTCTCAAGGTTCAAGCCACACACAAGAGGACAGGATTTTGCAGAACATCTCCTGCTGTTTTCTGCCTCTCCTCCCCTTCCAGTGACAAATGACCCAGCCTTAGGGCGGGATTTTAATCTGATTTTTTTTGGTGTGGATATGTTACAGGGATAGAGATGATTCCTTTTCGGGGAGGGTCTCAGCCCAGCCCCAGGCGTGAGCTGTCTGCACACGTGTCCCCATGCATGTAGTTGGGTGGAGGGGGGACTTACGCGTCCATGTGGACCTGCCAGTAGGCCTTGCGTGTGACGTTGACCCAGCTGAAGTCACCGCTGTAATACTTGGGGTCGGTCCCTCCCAGGAGCAGCTCACCGCCGGGCTGAGCAGTGGGGTCTCTGAAAAAAACAAAACTCAAATCCATGAACATCAGGGGCAGGATGAGAACAACTCCCTCCATGTGCCCCCAAAATACATGCCGGGATGCTTGGGGGTGAAGCACGGCATTAGCAACACTGGAGACAGATGACTTATGTCGTGCTATGTCAATATAAGGACAGATACCGTGAGGTAGGCTGGGATGGGGAAATGGAAATGTTTTGGCCCAGTCAAAGCATCTTGCAGCTTTTCGCCTGGTGCTTTCTCTCAGACACCTGGAGAAACTCGCTGCAGAGAAAGGGAACGGCAAAGGGGAACTGAGCATTGACACAAGGACCCCCCCCCGAATAATCAGTTTGTAACAAGCACCCGTGCAGGGTTGGACACGGCTGATGCAGTGCTAGGTTATCTGCACTCGACTCCACGTCAGCCAGCAGCCTTGGAGCCGAATCCTCAAGGTTACCGTCAGATAAAAGCTCGCTGCCGAGCAGATGGGAAGAAATATGGTGATGCAGGAGGGCTGGGGCTTGAACGGCCAGCAGCAGCTCCCTCTGCCCTCCTGTCTCCTGGCGTGCTACTTTTTGGGCTGAAGTAGTTCAGAACCTCCCCTGCGGTGCCAGAAGGGTGGTGGGGTGTTCGGGGCGGGAGCAGCAGTGGGTGGGAAGGTGATCGGAGCCGCAGAGGAGGATTCCCGAGGGGTGAGGGAGCGTTAGTCTCATCATTAGTGATGACTGGTGGGGGACATGCTTGACTGGGAGGTGACACGATGGCAGCCACGTGGCTCATGGATTTTGGCAACAGACTGGGGCTATGTTTACCTCCCTAACAGGGACTGCGCTAGCAGCATGCAACCTCATGATCACAACCCTGTTTATTTTTATTTCTCTTTCCTCTGGAAACATCCTCTATCTCTTCCTCAGTTAAGAAATGCGGTAGCAGATCTACCCAGCTTTTTATCAGTAAAATGACTGCATTTCTACTTCCCTTCTTCTTACTTCAAAGCAGTAAACAGAAGAGATTTTGGAACGACTGCTCCAGCAAGGAGACCTTGCTGAGACCTCCCAAACGGTGCTGGCCAGGGCATAAACTGGTACACAGCAAGAGGTGCTACTGGGAGACATAGAGAAATGCCTGGCTGGGCTTACCCTCACAAAGAGAGGGGTGCCACCAAACTCAACACTACCTGTTCAGGTAGAAGGAGAAGATGTTTTTCTCAATCAGCTTCTGTTGCATGATGTTATCGAAGAAAGGGGTGACCTTGTCCACAGAGATCCTTGGGAATGCCATGCCCAGGATGCCGTCGAACTTGGCAGCGATGAACGTGATGCCTGGCTGCTTCACGGCCTCCCCGAAGACCTGGTTCTTGATTTTCAAGTTACCGAGCTGAGGGGAGATGGGGAGGGAAGGGAAAAGCACATTGTAAAGAAAACTGTCTTGGGGGACCAGGGTGGAAATGGGATCTCACTGAACACAGGCTGTGGCGTGTCCCTCAACGTGCTGCCCCACTCCTGCCTGCTTTCACCCTTGCATTTGTGGGCAGCTGCAGGAACCAGATACCCCGGTGCCTCTCTCCTTGCGGGGCAGGGACAGGCCGCTCTGCTGCACAGTGGCACCTCCTGAGTCCCTGCAAAGCCCAGCACACCCCTAAAAAGGGCAAGAGCCCCCCTTTGCTCTTTGCCCATCTCACTCAGCTCTTTCAGCCTTTTGCTGGCTCCCGGCACTGGCCATGCCATTTTGCAGCTCCTCCTCTTTGCACAGAGGGCCCTATATCACCTTGACCTGCCTACATCCCTTGCCCTATTGCCTACTTCATCCTTTCCTCCCAGTCTGAAAAGCTCTTGTGCTGTGCCTTTAATCCTCTTCCCCACCCTGGACATCTTCTAAGTCAACTCCATGCCCTGCCTCCTTGGGTGCTGCACCCGTCCCCAGTTGGGAGCACAAATGCCTCTCACCTCTGCCAATGACCCCTGCGATCTCTGCTACACAAGAAACATCCCCAGGATATTGCTGCCTCTCCCAGAAGAACCCCCAGCCTGCAGAGACTTCTTGTGGGAGGGGGGAAGACCCAGTCAGGAAAGCGAGGTTGAGCCTGAAGCATGAAAATAGCAAGCGGAGTACTGCGAATGCAAAGGTCACCTCTCTTGCCGGCCATGAGAAGGATTGGCATTCCCTGCCGGAAAGCTGAAACGCCTCACAAGGGCAGATCCCCGGAAAGAAGGAGATTGCAGAAGGCAGGATAGCTCTGCTGACAGGGAGCAGGACGTGTCTGCTGGCTCCTGGCTCTAGCAGCTCAGGAGGTTTCTGAGCTTCTGGCTGACCAGGGGCAGTTTTAGCATCTGGGCTAGGACAATTTGAGCCTTTCAGCCTGCAGGTAGCAGCCCTGTAGTGAACCGGGCTGGACTGAAAAGCTGGCCTTGCCCACCTGATGGCAGATAACGATCTCTGTAAATTACTAATATCCCCCCAGGGTTAGACAGTGCAAGGCTGGGATGGGCGGTGCTGGCTTTAATGGTATCGGAGGCTTGTGCTAGGAAAGGGTGATCGAGCCTTGCAAAAGCTAAAAGCTACAGGGCAGGATGTGGGGCGAAACAGCTCACAGCAACGCATCCGCTTGCCAGGACGTGGCGAGCGTCCCAGTTGTATGCTGCAGGTTTACGAAAGCCACCACTCCACTGCTCGGCACAGCTGGTCCTGCAGCAGCTCAGAAAGTTCAATAAAGCTGCCACTTAAAAAAAAAAAATGGTAAAATGTAATGGACTGAGAAAACTGAGCATCAGGTTTGTTTGAATATTGCCCTGCTTGCACATCCCAAGAGGGAGGCAGATAGCTGCTCAGTGGTGGTGTCTCAGCAGACCTTGCCCGGGTTTGGTCCTCAGCAGGACTGAAACCCAAGAGCATCTTTAGCAGAGCGCTGGCGCCGGGTGACAGATCCTTCGTCGCCGTCCCTTGGCTGGCTCTCGCCCAGACATGGAGCGACTGAAAATCATTACCAGTGGATGGCTGTGTGGTGGCCACCCTCCAGTGTTTTGCAGACAGGTGTTGGCACCCCGCAGCTCGTCTGGCCTCCTTGTTAGCAGCCTCAGCCAAGCGGGCAAGGGCCGGATGGCGAAGGTAGACTGGAGGTGAGGGCCTCCGCGGCACAGTCTGGCACCAGGACTTGGGGCTCCCCTCTGCAGAGGCACAGGGGAGAGGCAAGGAGGGGCACCTCCTGTGCGATGTATCTGCACTGCAGCCCCAGGAGAGAACTCGTGCACTGTGGCCAGCGATGTTGCCTCTGATGTCCTTGAAGGACACCCCAAGGTCGGGCTGTGATAAAAGCATGAGACGCCTGAGGAGCAGAGGCCTGGCTGAACCTGCTGCTCTTTGGAGAGCGAGCAGCACCAGGGGATGCAGTGCTACAGGGCATCATTCCTCCACAAAAGGAGACAGGGTGTTCGACATCAGCTTGTCACTCTCTCCAAAAAAGATTCAGGGCTGAGGGACTCTGGACCACCTGCCAACCAGCACCTTTCGGTCAAATGTCAGTGCTGCCACAGGCTGCTGTGGCTCCCTGCACCCATTGCGACGGCTGGAGCCGAGAGGGTCACCCTGAAGGTTGTTTCAATGTCTGTATTTCCAGACTACACCCAACTGGGAGCTTGCCTACGGGATGTTGTGCATCAGAGGAAGCATCTTGGTGTTCAAGCTGAAGGTCCCTGACCCTCTGAGTCGCCCCTGCTCCTGCGTACTGCAAGCCTGACACTGCTCAGGCTTCATGCAAGAGGTTTCTCTTGCTTCTGCCCAGACAGAAACCAAATGCTACAAGCTGTGCCGGCTGCCAAGAGCTGTCCCTACTTACCAAACAAGCTCAAGCACAAAATCCTTCCTCTGAGCCACCGGGAAGTGGAGAGCTAATTAGCATGCAGGCATTAGGGTGATAATTAAAAACCAAAAAAAAGAAAAAGCTGCGTTTTTCCTTCTGACTGACTTCAACCTCTGCATTAAGCTGGAAAGTGCCTAAACCAACCCACACTTTCACAGGACAATAAAGTTCGCTGTTTGCCTTGCTGCCCTACTCCATTACTGGGATGAACGCAGATGCCTCCCCCTGCTCTGTCTGTATTTTGCAAACCTAATGTGAGAGAATCCATTAATGCTACGTACATGGTGTCTTCATTTGGCGAGAGCTGCGGGAAGGCTCGGGTGGGTGGCATTTTTTTGCAGCAGGGTGTTTCTAAGTGAACTGAGGGGTGCAGGAAACAAATGGCATGAAACGAAACTGAAATGGTCCCGAAACTTGGTGCACTGCAGGAGGCAGAGAGCAAACCCAGAGGTGCAAAGCTGCTGGCAGGCCCTGCTGCTCTCCCCCCAAGCCTTGTCTGCACTGATTTTCAGGTTTCACCGAGCCCATCAAAAGCCCTCTCCCCCAAAGGGGGTCCTGCACCCAGCTGGGTCTGCTGGCATCTTTGGATGCAGCGCAGAGGTGAGTCCAGGCTAGCCCAAAATTTTCCTGCTATGAGGATGGGCTAAACAGTGGTCCTTGCATGAGCCACCCACTTCGGGCTCCTCTTGGATATTTTTCTTTTGATCCCAATGAAATTGGTAAGCCAATACTTTCCAGCTGAACCTAACACGGAAAACCCCAAATCCCTAGATTTATGTGCTTATTCAAAACTTTTACTTTGTCTCCCTGCTGCAAAGCAAACATATGCTCTTATCCCTGCCAGGAGACCAAGTAATCTGGGAGCACGCGTGCCGCTGATGTCGAGCAGCTGGCAACCTCACAAGCATCTGTACCTGGGAGGCAGTCGTGAAAGGCGCCTTTCCTTCACAGGACAGAAAGCTCAGCCTTTGCTCACTGAAAAGGAAATGATGGGAAGCAACCACCAGCAACCTGGTTACCTCAAGCTGAGCCCTCAACGCTGCTGGGGAACCCCCCCCCAGGTGTTGCACAGCCTTTGCAAACATAAGCACTGGTTCTTGACACGAGACCAGGATGGGGCAGTGAGGAGCCCATTTCTGGCCAGTCTTTGGGCAGCTGCCTATGTGGATGTCCACTACCACGTGGGTAGGGGCCAGGAACACGCTGGGCACCACAAGCAGCCTGTGCAGTGGTGCTGGTGTGTGCTTGGGCTGGGAAATTTCCGGGGTCAGGAGGAAGAGGGTTGGAGGGATGGCCAGACACCGTGTTTGCAGGGCACCACACACGTGGTCCACGTTCCTAGCCTGCTGACCTGCTGATTAATACCTTCCCCCTTCTCTGCCTGCCTTGGTCATTGTCACCTCCTCAGTCATCATCACAACCTTATTTCAAAGCACTTGCAAACACTGTGCTGAAGCATGCTCTGTACGAGTAGGACACTCAAGAAGGGAGACCCGCTGAAATCAAACGGCTTCAGGCGCTGTGCCGAAAGCAGGCTGGGACAGCTCAGGGCAAAGGCAGTTGCTACTCACCGTGACCGTGTCCTGGCTGAGGTACCCAGAGAGGCTCCCTGTCCCATAGTGGATGGCGAACTCGGTGCCGTTCTCCACGTACGTGCTGGATTTAGAGGCATCGTACTTGTGGTGCAGCACTGCAGTCAGGGAGGGGGACACAGGGGGACACACGTTAGTTCTCCTTGATACCCAGGGCTCCCCAGTACTTAAAACCACACTGCCCAGCTCATCTGGACAAACAGACACTCAACGATGTGAAGGTGGGCCTGAACCCAGAATTTGCCAAGCCCAGACTGCTTAACAAAGCATTTCCAACGTCTGAGGAATTAGGTAGGCAGATCCAATTTGGCTGTTAAATCGGATTTGGCTACTGGGTATTAAAAGCCTAGAGTCTACGTGGCTGGTGTGTCAGGGTGCTGTAGACAGCAGAGCGAAACGTGTCCCCCCCTCCTGTGCCATGGAGAACCAGGGTGGCTTTAAATATAGCCTGCTCTGGGCATGAACATTCTCACTTTATGGATTTATCTGTTTCTTTTACTAAGACTAGCTGGAAATTTTTTTATATGGTCATTGTTTTTTGCGCAGAGAGGGCTCAAGCTATTCTTTTATTTGCAGAAGAGAATGGCTTTCCCCTAGTCTAAGCTGCTTTTCTCCTTGGAAGGGTTGGGCACTCTAAGATAACCCCGGGTTTATGGCTGGGCAGATTCCTCCTCCGCAGATTCCTCCTGAGTCACGAGTTGGGCAGCGGTGCGTGGTGAGCTCGGCCAGCCTGGCTTTATGGCAGG